GCTTTAGCTTCTCTGCACAAACGATTGGATACGCTCCTAATAGCACACATTTATCTAGGTTAACCATTTAAACTAACATTGTTTTTTTAAGCATTTTATATAGGCCTATAGATTTTATTTTAGTCAAGTGGTGATGATTTGAGAAGGCTAAATTGAACAAACATAGAAAAAACAAACATAAAAAAAACTAAAACATTTTCCAAACATATGTCTAAATTAACGTAATAAAGAAATGAAAATATATATAACCACTTTTGCCATTAAAAACGAAACTGAAGTATTTTAATGGCTACAACAGCAGCTGTGTAACGGGGAAGAGAAAAAGAGAAAAAAGACTCAGGCCAGTAATTCTGATAATCTGTCGGATAAGGGCCGGACTAGGGCATATGTTTGAGGCCCGTGCAGGGTTCTGCTGAGCTTATTTGGTAGCAAACTCAATACTCATATACGCACGAGCGCACTTTGGATGCGACTGCGCACCGCCTCTGGAGTGTGCGAGTACCGAATGGCTTAAAAAAACGTGCAAATAAATAATAAAAGTTTCTGACGATGCAACAATGACCCGATTAGGCAAGTGACTATTCTGTCAACTGTCCCGAAACGCGAGTGAAAGTCTTGTATCGCAGCGTGCAGCGGCTCTTGTAGCGCAGACAAGATGCGCCGATGTGAAGCCGTTTGAAGAGAAAGTCAAAAAGAGAAGACACGTACAGCTGAATCACTCACGCTGTTTTCAAATGACTGATTTGATCAGTCTGTGTGGACTGGACTCAGTCTGTAGGTTTGATTATTTACTCATCAAACCTACATGCTATAGGCTATTGAATAAAAGTGTGAATATCCATCATTTTAAAGTCAAAAGCTGCGGGAATGAGTAAAACTATGCGCAATCCCGCACCGAAATTCAGGACCCGATTAAACACAATTCTATTATACAGACTTTTCCAAAACTTTCTGGGTTTATTTATTTTTCCAAAACTTTTCCAGGCCTGGAAATTGGTGTTTTAAAATTCCAAGACTTTTCCAGGTTTTTCATGACCGTACAAACCCTGATTTTTTTTCAATATCGCACAGCCCTAATATAGATGCATATCTGATTACTGAGAACAGACTAAAGGAGTAAGTCTTTATCAATGAACCGTCCATTCAGCTTGTTGATTAATGAAACGTGGCAGCATATGCACAAATTAATCAGAAGAAAAGGTTTTAATCCTCCCGATCGCAGCACTTTGAAGTTCTTGGCTTTAATCATCAAAGTGTGTGTGTGTGTGTGTGTGAGAGAGTGTGAGTGTGTGTGTGTGAGAGAGTGTGTGTGTATGAGAGAGTTGTGTGTGTGTGTGTGTGTGTGTGTGTGAGAGAGAGTGTGTGTGTGTGTGTGTGTGTGAGAGAGTGTAAGAGTGTGTGTGTTTAAGGGGATGTGATGCAGGTAATGTGCTTGAGAACATATTGTCATGCTTATTTCACAAGTCCATTTGCACTTCGATCGGCCGCGGCTTAACATCAGCTGTGGGCTCTAATAAATATCAAAGAGATGTAATTCAGCGCTGGAATAACTGCAGCTGGCAGAAGCACCGAGGCCAACCGCAGTTCAATCGACGCTCTGCTGCTAAACGCAAAACTGTCGGCCAAAAACCGCCCCTTAAAAGGACGGCGAAACAACAGATCTGATTCGGAGGAGCCAACAGATTTGCCCAAACGCTCAACACAACCTTGTATGGCTGAGCGATGTGCTATCAGCGGTTTATATAGTTCAGATCCACTTTTTAGAAGAACAGAAATAGCATTGACTTCTCTAGACCAAATTGTGCTTTTTTTTTTTTGCTTCTTCACAGGAACAGATTTGGAAAAAATTTAGCATCAGTGTCTCAGCAATGGATGCTCTGCAGTGAATGGGTGCCGTCAGAATGAGAGTCCAAACAGCTGATAAAAACATCACAATAATCCACAGCACTCCAGTCCATCAGTTATATTTTAGTTAAAAACGTCTTAATGCTGGATTAGTTTCAGCTTTTGTCTTCTCCAGATGTTCACTGATGGACTGGAGTGCTGTGGATTATTGTGATGTTTTTATCAGCTGTTTGGACTCTCATTCTGACGGCACCCATTCACTGCAGAGCATCCGTTGCTGAGACACTGATGCAATGCTGCATTTCTCCAAACCTGATGAAGAAACAAACTCCTCCTAATCTCAGATGACCTGAGGGTGAACACATTCATTCATTTTTGGCAGAACTGTTTCTTTAAGCACTCTAGGAACCAAGCTGTCTCAAACCCTAAATGTGACCCTGGACCAAAAAAAAACAGTCATAAGGGTCAATTTTTCGAAATTGAGATTTATGCGTCATCTAAAAAAGCTGAATAAATAATCTTTCCATTGATGTATGGTTTGTTAGGAGAGGACAATATTTGGCTGAGATACAACTATTTGAAAATCTGGAATCTGAGGGTGCAAAAAAATCTAAATATTGAGAAAATCATCTTTAAAGTTGTCCAAATTAAGCTCTTAGCAATGCATGTCACTAATCAAAAATTAAATTTTGATATATTTACAGTAGAAGATTTACAAAATATCTTCAAGGAACATGATCTTTTCTTAATATCCTAATGATTTTTGCATTAAAAATAAAAATTTATAATTGTGACCCATACAATGTATTGTTGGCTATTGCTACAAATATCCCCCAGCGACTTAACACTGCTTTTGTGCTGCAGGGACACATATATGGCGTTTGCATGTACTCACCACATGCACCACCTCAGGATAGATGGGCTCGGTGATGACGCTCCTGTTGTGAGTGATGTACTCCACCATCTCGCTGAGCGCCGCCCGCTTCACCTCCTTCCACTTCAGGTCGCTCAACGGGTCGGAGACGAAGTCGAATAGCACGCAGCACTGACGCAGCTTCTGCAGGAATAACTTCTCCTGCTCGGCCGGAGGAACATCTGCAGCCACGGAGAGAAGAGTTAATGCAACACTGACATCTACTCACTGGAAGGAAAAATTTTGAAGGCCTCTAAATGATCAAGCTTTGCTGTAACACACAATCCCCTCATGTCTTCCGTTTCTGATTGATAGTTTAGAGTTTTTATCCAGTAAAAGCTCTTTTAGTGTAATTGTAGAAGCGCTTCTCGTGTCTTTCTGCTGTCAGATCTTGATCTAAGCGTCAGAATAACGTCAGTAATATCTCCAGATGAACACTTACTGCACTGAAGCAGCTCAGCTTTACTTGATTCTCCATCAATCATGTTTTAGAGTCTCAAATCTGATCCTCAGGATCTTTTGAGGAGCGTTTGTTTCCAGAAGCTTTACTTTCACTGTTCCTCAGCGGAGGAATGATCTTCACAAGCCTCCAGAACATCTCACATCTTCTGAGGAGCCTTTATTTCTTCAGCTCTCAATCACTGCATTATATGTTTGGAGCATTTCAATCTCATCTTA